TCAAGCATGGTACTGTGATAGGATGCCATCTTTGCAATAAGTTAGTTCATAAAATGTCATCCCTGCTTTATATTCCACGGTCAACTGCATATGTTATTATTGGAAAGGGGAAGCATTTTGGAGCTCAGTGAGTGGGGTCACCGAGTGCTGAGGCCCATGGTAAGTAAAAGTTGCCAACGCTCTAGCTGAAGAGTCCCAAGCTTTCACTGGCATTAATATGAGCACAACAACTGTACGGCAGAAGCTTAATAGAATGGGTTCAGGGTCGAGCAGCTCCATGGAAGCCTCACATTACCAAGTACAATGCCAAGCTTTGGGTCGAGTGGCATAATGGGCAAGGCTGGGTTTGGTAGGTGCCAGGAGTACAACCTGCCTGACTGTATTGTGTCAACTGTAAAGTTTGGTTGAGGAAGGAAAATTATATGGGGCTGGTTTTCAGGGGTTGAGCTAGACCCCTTACTTCCAATGAAGGGAAATCTTAATAATTCAGCACACCAAGACAGTTTAGAGAATGCTATGCTTCCAATGTTGTTGGGAAAGTTTGGGGAAGGCCCTTTTCTATTCCAGCATGACTGTGGCCCAGTGCACAAAGCAAGGTCCATAAAAACATGGTTGGATTAGTTTGGTGAGGAAGAACTTGACTGGCCCGCACAGAGCCCTAACCTCAACCCATCAAGCAGTTTGTCCATATAGTGTATATTGGATGCCCAAAAGGTGAACTATAAGAGGGTAAACACCTTAATATATTGAAGACTCTCCTAAGTGGCTGAGAGACTGCAAGCTACATCTCTTTCTTACTGCAAAGAACCATTTATTTTGCAGTAGGTGAAATTTCAATTCCTCCAGTCTGAATGGATGACCAATTGACCCTTGTAAAGTTTGTTATTAAATAGGTCACCACAGAGTTGGACTGTCCCTTTCTTAAGTTTAACTTCAATCATCTCTCTTTCTGACCACCCATGCACTAACTCAGACTCCATACGTCATCACCTCGATGAAACGTTGCTACAAATGCATGTTCCATCTTATCCATCCGCCAAGACTGCCGGACATGTCTGCTGAATACAAAATGTATTATAGATTTAGCCACAATTAGCAATAAAGAACCTAACATTTCAGTCAGAATCCACATCAGACTCTTTGTATTGAAGCTTAACTAATTAAACATAAGGATTAGTCATTCTTCATTTAATTCTCATAGCAAATATAAAATGTTTTTGGTATAAAACTAAACACACACAAATATCCGGCAGGGTCAGATTATGGAGTTACTGACTGGAAATGTGCTCTGCAGAATTACCTAACACAGAAAAATCCTCTTATTTAAAACTGAATACCATTATTTACCAATTTGTATTCCTCGATACTGTTATATAATATGTGTGGGGCAGGGGATCATAGGATAAGTTTGGGCTAAATTTGTAAAAATGAATGTTAGCTGAGAGACTTCTTGACCTGGAGATAACTCTGCTTTATATCGCTTGACGCTATTTGCGATGATTTTGTTAATACAAACTGTAAATAGAAATTGTCCTTTAAGACCAGTAATCAGTGCACACAGCGATTAGCTTAAAATAGTCTCATAATTCCTATATGGTGTTCTCGTCCCCGTGGTCCCAGCCAGAACTTGGAATAGAGGAAAAATGCAGATCTTTGTTTTGTCGATGAATTACTGTCTCCAAATGACTGTCTCAGTATTGACCCCTTTAACCCCTTAAGGACACATGACATGTGTGACATGTCATGATTCCCTTTTATTCCAGAAGTTTGGTCCTTAAGGGGTTAAAGGAAGATAAGCCCAATACAAAGATAAAACCAATTTATAACTCAGTGAAGAAAACCAACTCATTCAACGATCACATCAGAAAAAACAAACAGGTAAATGCGAAGGGGTTCCACAGACAAAGAAACACATTTATAGGCAGCTGCGGGTGTGCTTGATAACTTTCTTGTGCAATTTTCCAATGCTGGGGCAAGATACGGAGAAATTAAATTTGGGAGGGGAGCAGTAAGTTGGTGCTCCTGAGAATTCTGTGCATACGGCAATTGAAATGTAAACCTGGCCCTGACCGTATAACCAGATTTGAATAAATAATTTTAGTATATTAGTTAGAGAAACATTAAAGACTTAATGTAATTATTCCCGAGTGGGCTGGCACAGGGATAAAATTGTATTACTGTAAAAATGAGAACAGCGCAAAAAGACCAACCTTCTTCTAATCTCCAAACCAGGTCAGCCAAGATGGACAGAGTGATTGGATTTCAGAGAATGGAAGGGAAGACATTAAAGAAGATGAAAAAAATTACAATACAAATCTACATCATGATATTACTACTGGGGTGTCTGTCAGTTGTTTGTCTTGCATTTTCAAATTGTTACCTAAATAACCATTCAATCCCCATTGTCCCCATTGTCGTGGCATAATTGAAAAAGCTTTTTTGACATTTAAATGACCAATTAAAAATAATTAAAAAGAGATTAAAATGAGTGGCTTCATATTAATGTTGTATAATGGTTTGTGCAGAGTAAGTGATGAGAACCGCACCCAATCCCAACGGCCAAGGGTGCTCCAGAGCAGGACCAGCAATCCCAGTACAATAATCCAAGAAGAAAAAACTCACAGGCACTCCAACTTCAAGCCGCAGGCAGATTTATTATGACTGAATGCAACGCAACGTTTCGACCGGAAAGGTCTTTTTCAAGCTTTTCAAGCTTGAAAAAGACCTTTCCGGTCGAAACGTTGCGTTGCATTCAGTCATAATAAATCTGCCTGCGGCTTGAAGTTGGAGTGCCTGTGAGTTTTTTCTTCTTGTATAATGGTTTGTAACATAAAAATACATTTTATTTTAGAAGTTGTGGATCAAATTTCATGTTGTCCGAAAAATTGCTGCAACACAACACAAGATTAGCAATGCCAACTAATGGTGTTGGAATATAGACAAAGAATATATTGGAATATCTGCTAAACGATAGAAAATCTTCGATCACTTTGTCTTCATTAAAATAAATTCTCTCCTTCAAATCAATGCCAAGTTTATTACGTTTAATGTTCTACTCGTTGTTACAATAGAGTTTGATTATTTTTCACTCTTTTTGTCTTTTATGCAATTGATTAAATATATGACATTGAGCTCCAGGAGAAAGTGAATGTTTTCTATATTCTGGATTTATTTAGAATAAAAGCAAGCAGCGTGGTAAAGTAATGTGTAGCATGTAATAAATATTATCAGACTTTACTGGAAGGTGTCTCTGCATCACTGTTTTTACATAACTGGTTCAAATGAGCAGAAAAGTTACCGAAATCTAATTTAGTTTGTCTTATTTTTACATGTTCCTTATTGTAGTATAATGATTCTTTTAACAGCTTTATTTTGTGGTGTGTGTCCTTATTGCTTCAAATACTTCAGGATGCAGGATGCAGGACACCCAAGAGGACTTTTTAAGATTGAGTGTATGTTTTATTTATTTATGTCCAGCTACCTATAGTGTGTCCAATAAATAAGTTTTTGTTTCATCACTTCCTGCATCCTGAAGTATTTGAAGCAATAAAGACTAAGGACCACAGAGGGGATCCAGCTTGGAGTTTGATTATACATACGTTGATCTGATATGCTGCTAGTCTGGGCCAGTTTTTATAAGTGGCTCATGACCATGTGAGTTTAACCATCCACAGTTCTTATCATACTTAGTTGCTACATTATTACCCTATATATTTTTTATTCTTGTTTTTAGATCTACAAGAGTGGTTGTTTAATTCCATGTTAAATAAGGGTAAAGTTGTATAGTGTGCTCTCACCATTCACATTATTTTGGTATATTGTATTATTTAATTTTATGTGAGGAAGTGACTCACATTGGTGATTGGAGCACCTAAGTTTTAAACCTTTTAACCTTAATCATTTTTATATTCACTATAGACACATACTTTGCCCACCGTACACACACAGACACTTCATCCCCAGCACACACACAGACACATTTTATCCCGAGCACACACAGACACACTACATCCCCAACACACAAACACACATTGCACCCACAGCACACACAGACACACTTCACCCACATGCATAGACACACACTTTGCCCACCGTACACACACAGACACTTTATCCCCAGCACACACAGACACATTTTATCCCCAGCACACACAGACATATTTTATCCCCAGCACACACACAGACACATTTTATCCCCAGCACACACAGACACACTACATCCCCAACACACATACACACATTGCACCCCCAGCACACACAGACACACTTAACCCACATACATAGACACACACTTTGCCCACCGTACACACACACAGACACTTTATCTCCAGCACACACAGACACATTTTATCCCCAGCACACACAGACACATTTTATCCACAGCACACACACAGACACATTTTATCCCCAGCACACACACAGACACACTACCATTGCAGATGCATATATTGTGAAAGAATTTACTTTGATTCCAAGGTTCAAGATTATAGGTGTCATATTAGATATCCTATATTAAAACTGGCTAACTTGGACTCAGGAAATGCTTAATGCTTAAAACGACACTTAAGACCCTATAAATAAAGGGGGGCGGAGTCTGACTGCCAAGCAATAAAGACGTGGGCAACACGAGCTCTCGTCTGACGGGCTGAATTCGGGATAAAATCAGTGGCTACATAGCCCACAGACTCACTGGGTTGCGCTACCCATGTTGGGAGTGTGCCACGGAACCGAAGGACACCCCTCTGAAACCCGTCGGGGGCGGGAGGACGAAACGCTGAGTGCAGCATACTAAAGTTGGAGCCAGGGAGAGACAGCGGCTCACCCCGACACCAGACATACCAAGCGACTCCACTGGTCTCCTACCCCCCTCCTCTAGACCGGTGGGGGTTATCACGGTCCCCACTGGGAGAACGGACTGAGGCATCAACCATTTCCCCAACTGACTGAACACAGCAGACGCCTCAAGGTACTGCGACCTCACAAAATGTCGGAGACCCAACCACAAGCACCACAAACTCCCGCACAGGCACGAGGGCCAATCCCAGACACTCTAGAATCCAGACTGGATGCATTGTTCCAGGCATTTTGGGACAAACTACAGACCCGTGCCACTGCCGACCAACCCAACCAGAGTACGGAATGGGAGGCAGGAGATACCCCTCCGGGCAATATACTTATCATAACGCCTCATCGCAGCAACGGCTGCCTGCCCGGGCTGATAGCCAACAGAGGCATTGCCTCAAGACATCGACCACACAGGGGAAAGAACGCAAGCCGCAGGCGGCGGATGTTACCGCGATTTTCCAGTTGCCCCTTGGAGGGCCAGGACTGGGCTGTATGTAGGTACCGAGTCCGTGGACAGAGGGTGTCGGCTATCACAACAGCCTGGGGCTGGAGGACAATCACCTGTTGCCCATCGGTTGAACCCAACAATCACCGCAAACAGCCAACTACCTACCAAGCTGCTTACCCTTCCGGGCTGAAAACACCTCGAGGCACTGCCTCCCTGCAACAGCCACTCAAGCTGGAGATCACCCGCCAGGACCGCAGTCACCCACGACCCTCCACAAACCTAAGGCAGGGGACGGACTTGATCCACATGAACACCAGGGACACTGGACTAGTGATACTTACCCTTCTACAGACCAGGAGCTGGAAGAGAGCCATGAAATGGCACACTGCAGTAGATAATCGTTGGGACTCCCCTAAATGATCAAATACAAAAACACTTGTATCACCTCTGCCACTACTGGGGATCGGATGACCGGGCACCCAAAACCACACCCAAAGCTCCTGGTAACTCACTGAAGACACCGAGCGAAGGGTCATGCCTGATAAGAGACTCCCCATTTAATGTTGAGGAAGTACTAGCTAAGCTTTGTTTATTTAGTTGCTTATAATTTTGACCTAATCGGTTGCGTAGTTTACTATTCCTAGGCCCAGAACCCAGTGGTATAATGTTCTCAATGCATGCAAGACTCAATGTCTAACTAGACTGTTTACTCACAGACACATCTGCCTAGCAAGTTTCAGTCTGAAGTCACTAGCCTGTATAGTCACACGAAAAGTCATAAGATAGTAATCAGCGGCTCGAACACAAGAATATAGCACTTCTTGGATAGCAGTCTATGTACATTATATAAACACTACTACTAACTAATGTAACACACTAGCCTGTTTAATTATCTAGCATATTGTACCCACACTACCTATACTGTTACTAGAGCAGCTTAAGTATTACCTTGACAATTGTACCTTACAGTTATGGATGTGTTAACAATCTACTTATTCTTAAAAAAAAAAAAAAGAGGCAGACGCTTCACGGAGATGATATCAACTGTATTGTTGTTGTAGAATTATTAGGCCTCTATAAATCTGTAAGGCCCCTTTAAATCCTCTTGCTATACCTCTAAGAGGCCCCCATAGTTTTACAAGAAAGCTTTGTCTATAGAACATAGAATTTTCATGTCAGCAAGAAATAGCTTTGATAAAATGTGTATTTACTAAAAGCCTTGAAACCTAACCTTGAGAAATTAACAGTGCCAGCTCCACTCTAAATGGATAGCTGCCAAAAGGCCCCTCCCGTCGAGTGAGCTCCTCATGTTAGCAAAATGGCGCTAAAACCTGGAGGAGATAATCATGACGTGGATAGTGACCTAAGAATGGGGAGGGCATTTTACTAACATCTTAGCACCTAAGCCAATTAACAATGTCTATTTGTCTATATCTTGATTTTCTTCAATGATGTAATAATGCCTTTAAAAGGGTCTGCGCACCCATTTTCTGTCAGAAGCCATTAAACTTCTCCGAAGTTCTTTCATTAACCTGAACTTTGTGTCTCAGTGTGAATTTACTTCTGCGTGCACGCAACTTTATTATCTTTAATTTGGACAGGAACAGATAGTCATTCAAACTAATTGGTTTGCAGTAAATTATCTACAACATTGTTATACCCCCATTTGGAATGTATCTTAACTGTCTCCCCTTCTTTCTTCTGTTCCCATGCAACTCTATATGCCTCAATAAAAGAAAGATTGACATAAAAAGGAAAATAAACTTCTATATAAATTCATCGTATCAACTCACAAAGAGTTTGTAGCTCTCAGGTTGAATTACAAAAAGTATATTTTTACAGTTATTTTACGAGTCACATTAAAAAAGACAGCAGTACATACAGAGTATTTGTCATGTAAAACAAACATACAGAGGGTGCCTTCCTAAAACAGGGGTCAGCAACTCATGGCACGTGAGTTAATCTCAGAGAGCCTATGAGAGCAGGACACATGTAAAAAACAAGCCCCCCAACACTTCGGCACCCAGGAGTGTGCCTTTCTCTAAGGACAGCGACGCATTCTTTGGTGGGGAAAGGCGCATTCCTGGGTGCCAAAACATTGGGGGGTAGCTTGTCACGTGTCCTGCTCTCATAGGCTCCATGTTAGTTACTGCTGAGATTATCAGAATTGTTTATTTTAGCTAGCCTTGGTCACTTTCCTTTGTACAGTTTTTTAGTGTGGTATTGGCTATTGTAAATTGGAATACTGTTTCTTTATGCAATAAAGATTGTTTTTGTATTTGATCATTTAGTTTGGTGTGCATCCTTTTGCATATGTAATCACATTAAAATAAGTAAAAAAAATAAAAAGGATATTGACAGATCTGCTTTCCATATTAATTCTGTGCCAATTGCCCTTAAGGTATCTGCCATGACTTCCTTAATACAAACTATAAACATTTAAATGATTAATAATATTTTAGATTTGTGTTCTCCTCTACATAGCGCTAGCCGGAGCTCGGGAAAGAAGACAAAATGCAGATAGTTGTTTTGTGGCTCTTTTTCTGTCTCCAAATGACCGCCTCAATATCGGTGCCTTCACAGGACGATGAACCCATTACAGAGATAAAAACAATTCATAATTCATCCCAGAATAACGACACACTGAACGATCACAGCGGCAAAAGCAAACAGGTAAAAGCACTAGAGGATGAATGGATGGATGGATGGATGGATAGATTTTTCTAAATGATGTGAATAATATTCCTTGAAATTGCTACTGAAATTTATTGAGTTTAGGAAAAGTAACTAATTAAAACACAAATATTTAACATGGTGCTTTGATTTGTCCAGAGTGGGCTGAAAAAGATAGATTTTTCTAAACTGATGTGAATGATATTCCTTGAAATTTCTGAACTGATTTTTTTTGAGTTTTGGAGAAGTAATTAACTAAAACACAAGATTTGATGTGATACTTTGATGTGTCCAGAGTGGGCTTACTGGTAAATGATAAACGGGTATAATCACTCTGTTATAAAGTACTCTTACTGTAGTTATTATAAGACTACAACAAAAAGATTGAAAAACAAGAGAGCGATAATTCACTAAACGTCTTGTCCTTCCTTAATTAGCTCTACGAAGAGGAATCGGCCGGTGGTGTTGACAGTGGAATGGCCAGAGAAGACAATAAAGGAGATGAAAGCCAGGACAGTGGCGGCAGCCATCAGTCAATTAGTAACATGCCTGGCTCTTGTGTAGCTTGTATGTTCAAGTTTCTACATGGATAACAATATGACAATATGGTCATTCCTGGCATTTTTGACAGTAACATCCTGTAAAATCTGATCGATAATAAAATAAATACTCTCAATGCAGATGTAGAATTTGTTTGTTTTATTGATGGGTTCAAAATACGGTATTGAAAATAAAAAGTAATTCCCGACCTTAGATGTCAAATATAATACTGTCATCAACAGAAATATACTGACTGGTTGGATTTGAGTTGTTTTATATTTGGCAGTAAAATTCTCCCATTCCAGGACATAAGCAGAGGGTATTTGGGAAGCTGCCACGAGGATTAACATCTCGGCAAACTTTCAAGAACATGTTAGAAGATGATATTTAGGTTTTACACCAACCCGATCCTAACTCACCACGTGGGCAAATTTACCACTGACTTATGTTAATGACTATGTGGTCACCAGGTTCGTTTTACCATTTGTGGTGGTCCTTCCCCCAGGCAGTTTTGTTCCGGGCTGTGTTTGTTACTCTAGCCTCCCATGTATTCATAAACCCATCACTCTAATCAGTGGCTTTTTCTTCTCCCAATGATAAGTTTATTAAAGGGAAAACAAACTTACATTGAAATGCATTGTATCAACTCACAAAGAATTTGTAGCTCTCAGGTTGCATTACAAACAAGTTTTAAAAAAAAGGATATTGACAGATCTGCTTTCCATATTAATTATGTGCCAATTGCCCTTAAGGTATCTGCCATGACTTCCTTAATACAAACTATAAACATTTAAATGATTAATAATATTTTAGATTTGTGTTCTCGTCTACATAGCGCTAGCCGGAGCTCGGGAAAGAAGACAAAATGCAGATAGTTGTTTTGTGGCTCTTTTTCTGTCTTCAAATGACCGCCTCAATATCGGTGCCTTCACAGGACGATGAACCCATTACAGAGATAAAAACAATTCATAATTCATCCCAGAATAACGACACACTGAACGATCACAGCGACAAAAGCAAACAGGTAAAAGCACTAGAGGATGAATGGATGGGTAGAAAGGGAAATAGATAGATAGACAGACAGATAGATAGATAGATAGATCGATAGATAGACAGACAGACAGACAGATAGATAGACAGACAGATAGATAGAAAGATAGATCGATAGATAGATAGATAGATAGACAGACAGATAGATAGAAAGATAGATAGATCGATAGATAGATAGATAGATAGATAGATAGACAGACAGACAGACAGATAGATAGACAGACAGATAGATAGATAGATCGATAGATAGATAGATAGATAGATAGATAGATAGATAGATAGAGAGATAATACATAGATAGACAGACAGACAGACAGATAGATAGATAGATAGATAGATAGAGAGATAATACATAGATAGACAGACAGACAGATAGATAGATAGATAGACAGACAGATAGATAGAAAGATAGATAGATCGATAGATAGATAGATAGATAGATAGATAGAGAGAGAGATAATACATAGATAGACAGACAGACAGATAGATAGATAGACAGACAGACAGATAGATAGATAGAGAGATAGATAGTAAACTCGTTTGAACAAGGTCCTCATCAACCTATTGTACCTGTAACATTTTGTAATTGCCTCATTTATTGTTAAATTTCCTCTTTATAATATTGTAAAGCGCTGCAGAATACGTTGGTGCTATATAAATGCAAAAACTAACAATAATAGATGATAGACCCATCTCTTTAGGAAAGTTTATGGCCTCCCAGAGT